TGTAGACAAACAGGAAAGGGAACTACAAAGGAGAAAGAATCAGCTAGAAAACTGGTTTCTCGGGGATACAGAAATGGTTCAGTGGCTGAAAGCATTAACTGCTCTTCCAGACAACCCTGACAGTAGTGGCACACAGCTTTAATTCCAGAACTCGGGGGCAGACAGATGGTTCTCTGTGAGTTCCAGACCAGACTGATCTACAAAGCAAATTTAGGACAGCCAGAACTCTTGCACAAAGGAAACCTATCAAGGGAAAAAAAAAGATTAAATTTACTGGTTTGTGGCAATATTTACCTGCAAGCTCTGGTGAAGTCAAAAGGACCAGGAGGTCTAGAATACTATAACTACATAGTAAGTTCAAGGCCAGCCTGAGCTATATCATACTATGAGAGAAGGAGGAAAGATAGACAATTAGATACAAGGATGGATGAATGGATGGATGTATACATAAAAAGATAGACAAATACATAAATACATACACACATACATAATTGGATAGATAATTAGATAGATAATTAGATGGGTGGATGCATATATGGATGGTGAGGTAGAAAATTATATGCGTACATACATAAATAAATTCATACCTACATACAGAAAAGGGGAGGGCGGGAGCAGGACAGATCCATTAATAAAGATAATACAAGCTAGTAGCTGCTTACCCATATCAGAGAAACAGGTATTATTCAAAAATGGACATTAGTTACATCAAACAACCAAATGAAAGCACACACACACACACACACAAACACAAACAATCCACACAGCCCCTGGAGAGAACTGACTAGAGAGGAATATAAATGTACACAACCAAGCAAATAACAAATCAATGGAAGCTTAAGCAAAAGAAGGAAAACACACCCAGGGCAAGAAGAGAGCCAAGAGCCTTGGCCCTGGGATCCATCCGAAAATCCCGCTGCGGACAGATATGCTCCCTGGTCCATCTGGAGCCTCAAAGACAGCACTCTGTGGCCTCTGCCCAGCTCCCCACTGCAGACTCTCCCTCCATCTCCTCCATCTCCTCCCACAAGTCTGCGAGCCCAGGACCCTGAGAGTCATCACAAGCCTCCACGCTCTCCCTGCAAGGCCCGGAAGCGCCTCTTCGAGGAAACAAAGGACCCTTTCCCCGACATACAGCACCTTGGACACTTACTTCCCTGAACGCCTTATGGGACTCATTTCCAGTGTGCCTCGAGACACCCAGGAGCCGATCGTTGGGACCGTGGGCACACAAGCACTTTCTCGGCGACACACTGTGGATGGGAGAAGACAGTCTTCAAGATTTTCGGGACACTAGATCAAGCCCCTAAAGCTGAAAAGCAGCCTTCGAGAACCAGAAGACCAATTCTCCAATTCAGGCCTTCATCTCCAAACCTTCCAGAGCGCCCTCCTCACCTGGCTCACTGCCTCCCTGCAAGAACAAGGTCAGTGTCTGCCCCCTGGTTCTCCCAATCCAAGACAGCCCTGGGTTTCCTTCCTATGCTGCCAGGGTCCTTGCCGGGTTCCCCTCACTGGATGAAGACTTGACCTTGCCTTGGCCCTGCTGGACACACACTTCTAGCTGCACTGCAGGGAACAGACACACAGCCCAGTGACAGAAGATGCTTCCTAGCCCTGAGAGTAGGACTCTTCTTGGCTTCTTCTCAGCCATGCCTCAACCTGCTGCTATAGTCTATCTCTTCCTGACAACCAGGCCTGCACAGAGAAACCCTGTCTCAGAAAACGCATCAACAAACAAACAAACAAACGAACACCAAAGACAGTGCCTGAAGAAAGCACCTTTGAACACGCTTGGGGACGGAGGCCATTGCTTCCCAGCCCTTGGCAAGTACAACCTACCAGAATTCTGCCAAGTCCACCTTGCTCTCCAACAAAGAAATCTCTTTACATGTCTTGTTTTCCAAATATTCTTTTGCAAAGCAATGTTTGTAATCCCAACATTACTTACTAATTAATAAAGATGGTACAACCTAGAAACTGATTGTGGAAAACAGTGTTTAAGAGTGTAAAGGGAAAGAGAGAGAGAGAGAGAGAGAGAGAGAGAGAGAGAATGGGAGAGGGAGGCAGTGTGTGTGTATGTGTGTGTGTGTGTTTAAATGAGAAAGATCACAATGAAGAGCACTAACAATTTGTGGGACTGTGTGATAATGCAAATGTGTTGAATATGAGCTAAGTTGTAAAATGGAGGGTCTGAGATTCCCCAGGCCCCACCCTGAATAAGTCAGTATCAAATATATCCTAATAAATGCTCAACAGCATAAAAATGTCAATTGTGTGAAATTCCCTCTGCTTACCCATGTGGGAGAAACAAGTATTTTTCAAAAATGGACAAGAATTAAAAGAAACAACCAAAAGAATGGAAAGCAGGAGCAAGCAAACACACACACACACTCAGACACACACACACACACACACACACACAATCCACAGAATGCCCCTGGAGAAGATTGACTTGAGTGGGAAAAGGCAAAGTTTTCGATTAATATAAAAACACCCAGTGGTCTTTCAGCACTCAGACAATGACCCTTAGCCACCCTTAGCTACAGGACCAGAGGATGGACATGCTCTTCACTCCAGGCCTTTGCATATCTGCTCTCAATTGTTCATAAGCTAGAGAGGCATACAAACATGTATACAAAGGAGCAAATAACAAATCAATGGAAGCTTAAGCAAAAGAAGGAAAACACACCCAGGGCAAGAAGGGAGCGTGGGGTGTCTGTTCTTGGCTGCCAACTTCAGTCCTACTGGAATTAACTGCTACCTCAGAGGTCAAGCACACCTGTGTGAGACTTCTCTTGATGGAATTATTGGAAGTAGAATGCCCCACCCTCAATCCATCTTTTCAGACCTGGAAAGTTCCTGAGAAGAGCAGGGAGAGGAAGCTGTCTGAACAAATACATCCCAGGCTTTGGGAGGTGGAGACAGTCAAACCCAAGTCCCAGGTTGCCCTCACTCCATCTTGCCTTATAGGCTAGTAGGGTTGCTTCCCTAGGGCACTCTTGTTGAGAAGGGTTGTTCAAAATTCTTCTGAAGTCCTTAGAGTGCAGTGACGACTAGTTAGGAACACTAACGGAGCCAGCCAGAGGAGAGGCCAGAGGTGGAGGCATGAATTCCAAGTCTCTTTAAAGAGGTAGAATAAAGTCACATCGACCCCCACTCTTTTGGACTCTGATTAGGAGACATATAAAATCAAATGTGAAGAAGACTGTGGAGAAACTCATTCAAAGAAGATTACCCACCAGCGGGGCACTTAGAATGATCCCCAGAATGTCTCTGGGTCTTTTAACATACTTTTCCAAGGGATGTCACTATATCCGTAAAGGAAAGCCATAGATAAACCACTGGAGTGTTTTTCTTGTTTCGTTGGTAGTTTGGTTGCTTGGTTGCTTGTTAGGTTTGCTGGGTTGGTTTTTTGTTTTGTTTTGTTTTGTTTTTTTTGAGACAGGTGTTCTCTATCGTTTTAGAGGCAGTCCTCGACCTCTCTTTGTAGACCAGGCTGGCCTGGAACTCACAGAGATCTGCCTGCCTGGACCTCCCTAGTGCTGGGATTAAAGGTGTGTGCAACCAAGCTATGGATAATACCACTGAAGTGAGGAGAGGAAAAATTCCAATAGGAATGCAGATGAAAGTGTGTATTAACCTCATATCCATCAGCTCAGGACTACACATCAAGTAGAGCAGATGAGAGACTGTGGCAGCTGACACCCCCAAACACCCCAATACCGAAAAAGAAACAAATGAGCAAATAAACGAATAAATACATAAGTACATAAGCCTAAGTAGGGAATGGGTTGTGGCCCTGACCTAAAGGGCATGTCTACCTGTATGAGCATCTGCTCCAAGAGGAGACAGTAAAGGAACAGTGACAGAGAGACAGAGTCAGGGTGAGATTAGGAGAGGGAGACAGAGAGGGAGTGAGTCACGACTAGTAAAACTTGTTTCAAGTGTCAAATACACATAGACTATAACAAAATGAGAGAAATGAAGGAAAACCATCAAAGAGGCCACTGATATGGGAAGCATGAATGCACTTAAAGGCCACGTGCAAGAAAACAGGTATTGGGTTTTGAGTTTTTTATCCACCTGTGACGACTTGTGAAGATCAACTAACCCTTCTGGACAGGATTTCACGTTTGCAGGCTAGCCTTTAGTTCACTCTGTAAACCGACTGCCCCAGTAGCCACCATGTAGCATGTGGAACTGAACTCCTAATCTTCCTGTCATTTTCTGCCAAACTCTGGGCTCATGCTTGTTGAAAAGGACTCACACTAATACTTTTATGATTTTGTTTGGGGCTCCATCAAATGGCCTCAGGCATGCTAGGCAAACACTCTGCCGCTGAGGTATTTTCTCAGACCAATTAAGGACATCAATAGCATATCTATCTGAAATGAATGTTTAAGTCAGACGAGCCCTATGAAAGCCTTAGCCGCTGGCGTTCAGTACCAAGTTTCACTTTGTTCATTCCCATTTCCGTTTTCTGTTTCATACGAAGAAACTGTCTAGGGGAAATAGTCAACCGGGCGTGTTGGCAAAAACACAGGCTTCACTACGGACAGGAACACCCCAGGGTCGATTCTTTCCTGCACCCCACGCCTAACAGCAACACACCATCAGGCATCCCCTAAACGACCAAACTCACACAAACACCCAGAGGCTGCCAGGCGGGCAGGGACACACATGCCCACCGGCACGCAGAGGTGCCTTGGCCAAGATCGAGGGTCTCGCCCTTCTTAGGCCCCACCCTGCCTGGGCGGGGCTTACTGCCAAGCAAGGCTTATAAAAGGAACTCAGGTCCTCCCGTGAATGCTCCTTCTCAGCCAGTCTCCCTGGCCGCCTCTGCTCTGTCCCAGAGAGTGCAAGAGTCTCTTACAGAGCAGCCCTTAGCCGACAGCTCGCCTTGAACCTGGCACTGCAGAGCACAAGTCAGTCCATCAGCTACGTGGGACTTTGTGGTGTACCAGCCACCAGGTGTCAAGCCCGCATCGCCACCAACCAACATGGTGGGAGCACGGCCCCGCAGCCCACAAGACTATCTGCTGCAAGAAGAACCCCAGCCGGCCAAGCGCCACTGTGTCCGTGGGCCGGACTGCCCGAGGTGGCTGGCAGAGCCAGACCTGGAAGCAGGTAACTCGACAACCGGGAAGGAGGTCACCTCCGTGGTGCTGGTGCCAGCTGGCTTCGCCTTGAAACTCCACCTGGAAGACATGGACCTGCTGCTGGAGCCCGACCCAACCTCAGTCAAGCAATTGTCGCTCCCTGGACACACCATCATCCTGATCCCAGAGGGCCTGCAGGTACTCGATGAGCCTGGACAGCCTGCAGTTGTGCCCCGAAGCCCGCAGGAGGCGCCTCTCCTGGATGTGTCCCAGGAACACCAAGTCGTCCTGCAGGAGGAATTTCTCAGTGCATCTGGATCACACATGCAAGGCTGGGGAAACGCCTCTCATCCACCTGAGGATCCGAAAGAAGACTTCAGGATGCCGTGGACGCATGCTCCTGCCGACATGGACACGGGGCCCCTGGGCCCCTACTCGCAGATGTACAGCCCCTTGTTTGAGAGCCAAGAGCCTTGGCCCTGGGATCCATCCGAAAATCCCGCTGCGGACAGATATGCTCCCTGGTCCATCTGGAGCCTCAAAGACAGCACTCTGTGGCCTCTGCCCAGCTCCCCACTGCAGAATCTCCCTCCATCTCCTCCATCTCCTCCCACAAGTCTGCGAGCCCAGGACCCTGAGAGTCATCACAAGCCTCCACGCTCTCCCTGCAAGGCCCGGAAGTGCCTCTTCGAGGAAACAAAGGACCCTTTCCCCGACATACAGCACCTTGGACACTTACTTCCCTGAACGCCTTAGGGGACTCATTTCCAGTGTGCCTCGAGACACCCAGGAGCCGATCGTTGGGACCGTGGGCACACAAGCACTTTCTCGGCGACACACTGTGGATGGGAGAAGACAGTCTTCAAGATTTTCGGGACACTAGATCAGGCCCCTAAAGCTGAAAAGCAGCCTTCGAGAACCAGAAGACCAATTCTCCAATTCAGGCCTTCATCTCCAAACCTTCCACAGCGCCCTCCTCGCCTGGCTCACTGCCTCCCTGCAAGAACAAGGTCAGTGTCTGCACCCTGGTTCTCCCAATCCAAGACAGCCCTGGGTTTCCTTCCTATGCTGCCAGGGTCCTTGCCATGTTCCCCTCACTGGATGAAGACTTGACCTTGCCTTGGCCCTGCTGGACACACACTTCTAGCTGCACTGCAGGGAACAGACACACAGCCCAATGACAGAAGATGCTTCCTAGCCCTGAGAGTAGGACTCTTCTTGGCTTCTTCTCAGCCATGCCTCAACCTGCTGCTATAGTCTATCTCTTCCTGACAACCAGGCCTGCACGGAGAAACCCTGTCTCAGAAAACGCATCAACAAACAAACAAACAAACGAACACCAAAGACAGCGCCTGAAGAAAGCACCTTAGAACACGCTTGGGGACGTAGGCCATTGCTTCCCAGCCCTTGGCAAGTACAACCTACCAGAATTCTGCCAAGTCCACCTTGCTCTCCAACAAAGAAATCTCTTTACATGTCTTGTTTTCCAAATATTCTTTTGCAAAGCAATGTTTGTAATCCCAACATTACTTACTAATTAAATAAGATGGTTCAACCTAGAAACTGATTGTGGAAAACAGTGTTTAAGAGTGTAAAGGGAAAGAGAGAGAGAGAGAGAGAGAGAGAGAGGGAGAGGGAGGCAGTGTGTGTGTATGTGTGTCTCTGTGTTTAAATAAGAAAGATCACAATGAAGAGCACTAACAATTTGTGGGACTGTGTATTAATGCAAATGTGTTGAATATGAGCTAAGTTGTAAAATGGAGGGTCTGAGATTCCCCAGGCCCCACCCTGAATAAGTCAGTATCAAATATATCCTAATAAATGCTCAACAGCATAAAAATGTCAATTGTGTGAAATTCCCTCTGCTTACCCATGTGGGAGAAACAAGTATTTTTCAAAAATGGACAAGAATTAAAAGAAACAACCAAAAGAATGGAAAGCAGGAGCAAGCAAACACACACACACACACTCAGACACAAACACACACACACACACACACACAATCCACAGAATGCCCCTGGAGAAGATTGACTTGAGTGGGAAAAGGCAAAGTTTTCGATTAATATAAAAACACCCAGTGGTCTTTCAGCACTCAGACAATGACCCTTAGCCACCCTTAGCTACAGGACCAGAGGATGGACATGCTCTTCACTCCAGGCCTTTGCATATCTGCTCTCAATTGTTCATAAGCTAGAGAGGCATACAAACATGTATACAAAGGAGCAAATAACAAATCAATGGAAGCTTAAGCAAAAGAAGGAAAACACACCCAGGGCAAGAAGGGAGCGTGGGGTGTCTGTTCTTGGCTGCCAACTTCAGTCCTACTGGAATTAACTGCTACCTCAGAGGTCAAGCACACCTGTGTGAGACTTCTCTTGATGGAATTATTGGAAGTAGAATGCCCCACCCTCAATCCAAATTTTCAGACCTGGAAAGTTCCTGAGAAGAGCAGGGAGAGGAAGCTGTCTGAACAAATACATCCCAGGCTTTGGGAGGTGGAGACAGTCAAACCCAAGTCCCAGGTTGCCCTCACTCCATCTTGCCTTATAGGCTAGTAGGGTTGCTTCCCTAGGGCACTCTTGTTGAGAAGGGTTGTTCAAAATTCTTCTGAAGTCCTTAGAGTGCAGTGACGACTAGTTAGGAACACTAACGGAGCCAGCCAGAGGAGAGGCCAGAGGTGGAGGCATGAAATCCAAGTCTCTTTAAAGAGGTAGAAGAAAGTCACATCGACCCCCACTCTTTTGGACTCTGATTAGGAGACATATAAAATCAAATGTGAAGAAGACTGTGGAGAAACTCATTCAAAGAAGATTACCCACCAGCGGGGCACTTAGAATGATCCCCAGAATGTCTCTGGGTCTTTTAACATACTTTTCCAACGGATGTCACTATATCCGTGAAGGAAAGCCATAGATAAACCACTGGAGTGTTTTTCTTGTTTCGTTGGTAGTTTGGTTGTTTGGTTGCTTGTTAGGTTTGCTGGGTTCCTTTTTTTGTTTGGTTTTGTTTTGTTTTTTTTGAGACAGGTGTTCTCTATCGTTTTAGAGGCAGTCCTCGACCTCTCTGTGTAGACCAGGCTGGCCTGGAACTCACAGAGATCTGCCTGCCTGGACCTCCCTAGTGCTGGGATTAAAGGTGTGTGCAACCAAGCTATGGATAATACCACTGAAGTGAGGAGAGGAAAAATTCCAATAGGAATGCAGATGAAAGTGTGTATTAACCTCATATCCATCAGCTCAGGACTACACATCAAGTAGAGCAGATGAGAGACAGTGGCAGCTGACACCCCCAAACACCCCAATACCGAAAAAGAAACAAATGAGCAAATAAACGAATAAATACATAAGTACATAAGCCTAAGTAGGGAATGGGTTGTGGCCCTGACCTAAAGGGCATGTCTACCTGTATGAGCATCTGCTCCAAGAGGAGATAGTAAAGGAACAGTGACAGAGAGACAGAGTCAGGGTGAGATTAGGAGAGGGAGACAGAGAGGGAGTGAGTCACGACTAGTAAAACTTGTTTCAAGTGTCAAATACACATAGACTATAAAAAAATGAGAGAAATGAAGAAAACCATCAAAGAGGCCACTGATATGGGAAGCATGAATGCACTTAAAGGCCATGTGCAAGAAAACAGGTATTGGGTTTTGAGTTTTTTATCCACCTGTGACGACTTGTGAAGATCAACTAACCCTTCTGGACAGGATTTCACGTTTGCAGGCTAGCCTTTAGTTCACTCTGTAAACCGACTGCCCCAGTAGCCACCATGTAGCATGTGGAACTGAACTCCTAATCTTCCTGTCATTTTCTGCCAAACTCTGGGCTTATGCTTGTTGAAAAGGACTCACACTAATACTTTTATGATTTTGTTTGGGGCTCCATCAATTGGCCTCAGGCATGCTAGGCAAACACTCTGCCGCTGAGGTATTTTCTCAGACCAATTAAGGACATCAATAGCATATCTATCTGAAATGAATGTTTAAGTCAGACGAGCCCTATGAAAGCCTTAGCCGCTGGCGTTCAGTACCAAGCTTGACCTCCAGTGAACAACGGAAGTTTCACTTTGTTCATTCCCATTTCCGTTTTCTGTTTCATACGAAGAAACTGTCTAGGGGAAATAGTCAACCGGGCGTGTTGGCAAAAACACAGGCTTCACTACGGACAGGAACACCCCAGGGTCGATTCTTTCCTGCACCCCACGACTAACAGCAACACACCATCAGGCATCCCCTAAACGACCAAACTCACACAAACACCCAGAGGCTGCCAGGCGGGCAGGGACACACATGCCCACCGGCACGCAGAGGTGCCTTGGCCAAGATCGAGGGTCTCGCCCTTCTTAGGCCCCACCCTGCCTGGGCGGGGCTTACTGCCAAGCAAGGCTTATAAAAGGAACTCAGGTCCTCCCGCGAACGCTCCTTCTCAGCCAGTCTCCCTGGCCGCCTCTGCTCTGTCCCAGAGAGTGCAAGAGTCTCTTACAGAGCAGCCCTTAGCCGACAGCTCGCCTTGAACCTGGCACTGCAGAGCACAAGTCAGTCCATCAGCTACGTGGGACTTTGTGGTGTACAAGCCACCAGGTGTCAAGCCCGCATCGCCACCAACCAACATGGTGGGAGCACGGCCCCGCAGCCCACAAGACTATCTGCTGCAAGAAGAACCCCAGCCGGCCAAGCGCCACTGTGTCCGTGGGCCGGACTGCCCGAGGTGGCTGGCAGAGCCAGACCTGGAAGCAGGTAACTCGACAACCGGGAAGGAGGTCACCTCCGTGGTGCTGGTGCCAGCTGGCTTCGCCTTGAAACTCCACCTGGAAGACATGGACCTGCTGCTGGAGCCCGACCCAACCTCAGTCAAGCAATTGTCGCTCCCTGGACACACCATCATCCTGATCCCAGAGGGCCTGCAGGTACTCGATGAGCCTGGACAGCCTGCAGTTGTGCCCCGAAGCCCGCAGGAGGCGCCTCTCCTGGATGTGTCCCAGGAACACCAAGTCGTCCTGCAGGAGGAATTTCTCAGTGCATCTGGATCACACATGCAAGGCTGGGGAAACGCCTCTCATCCACCTGAGGATCCGAAAGAAGACTTCAGGATGCCGTGGACGCATGCTCCTGCCGACATGGACACGGGGCCCCTGGGCCCCTACTCGCAGATGTACAGCCCCTTGTTTGAGAGCCAAGAGCCTTGGCCCTGGGATCCATCCGAAAATCCCGCTGCGGACAGATATGCTCCCTGGTCCATCTGGAGCCTCAAAGACAGCACTCTGTGGCCTCTGCCCAGCTCCCCACTGCAGACTCTCCCTCCATCTCCTCCATCTCCTCCCACAAGTCTGCGAGCCCAGGACCCTGAGAGTCATCACAAGCCTCCACGCTCTCCCTGCAAGGCCCGGAAGCGCCTCTTCGAGGAAACAAAGGACCCTTTCCCCGACATACAGCACCTTGGACACTTACTTCCCTGAACGCCTTAGGGGACTCATTTCCAGTGTGCCTCGAGACACCCAGGAGCCGATCGTTGGGACCGTGGGCACACAAGCACTTTCTCGGCGACACACTGTGGATGGGAGAAGACAGTCTTCAAGATTTTCGGGACACTAGATCAGGCCCCTAAAGCTGAAAAGCAGCCTTCGAGAACCAGAAGACCAATTCTCCAATTCAGGCCTTCATCTCCAAACCTTCCACAGCGCCCTCCTCGCCTGGCTCACTGCCTCCCTGCAAGAACAAGGTCAGTGTCTGCACCCTGGTTCTCCCAATCCAA